CCTACTCCAGCGCTATCGGTAGTCTAATGTACACCATGACGTGTACTAGACCCGATATATGTTATGCGGTTGGTCTTGTTAGCCGGTTTCAGTCGAATCCTGGACTTGCACATTGGAAAGCAGTCAAGAGGATCTTCCGATATCTTAGAGGGACGACAAACTACATGTTATGCTATCAAGGAAATGATTTGCGGCTAAAGGGATTCAGCGATGCCGACTGGGCGGGAGATCCGGATGAGCGCAAATCAACGTCTGGTTATGCTTTCTTGCTGAACAACGGTGTCATCTCGTGGAGCAGTAAGAAACAGTCATGTATAGCCTTATCGACGATGGAGGCAGAATATGTGGCATGTTCGGCAACCGTACAGGAAGCAGTTTGGTTGAGGAGATTCTTAGAGAATTTGGGGGTTATTGTTCGAGCATCAGACCCTATGACCGTGTATAGTGACAGCATGGTTGCACTTGCTTATTCTAATGATTCCAAATATCATGGAAAAACCAAACACATAGCCATAAGATATCATTTTGTAAGAGATGCAGTGGCACAGAAGGAAGTGGTCTTGAGATACATCCCGACTACCGAGATGGTAGCGGATCCGTTCACGAAGCCTATCGCTAGGGATTTGTTTATTAGACATGTTAGATCCCTAGGATTACGAAGGATGTGAACTATGTTTATGTACTCAGTTGACTTTATTGTATTGTATGATCAGTTTTTAATAAGGTATTATTGATATCTATTCTGAGTCGTGAAAAGTACCACTAGTATAATGATTTGTATGTCCATAGGCTATGATTGGATTTCTCACATGAGCAATCGCCTCTGACGCTCTGGGAGCGAGTAGAGATGAGACATGAATGAATTGGGTCATTGGGGGACAAACTCGATTTATTTCATTATATGTCGCCTTGGTAAGAACCTAGATGAGGCTTAGAGTTGTTTTGGAGCCGACATGGATGTTATTCCACCATCCATGAAACCTATGTAGAAGCCAGGTGCGAATCCTATATGATGCTATAGAGAGCAAGCATATTGTGAGTTCGGGTTAGTCGCTTGAGTAGCAACTAGACTAAGACCTGTATAGTGTTGAGTGACATACTCCTGAGGGAGAATCTCCACCATAGCATACATTTCATACTGTATGTGCTAGAGATATGACCAATCAAGTAAGTGAGTGAATGGATCCCTGCTTCATCACTGTGTGAGTACTTGATATCGTATATTAATTATACGAGTATACCCTTATGACTTTGACTATGCTACGAAGCGTAGAGTTGATGTTTGCTACTTTAGTGTGCTTCCTATGGTCACGAGTGATTCGATCTACTGGGGCATGTCTAGGAAAGCAGTCGACTCGAAACTAAGTAGTAGTAGGGCGAAAGGAAGGTAAAGTATTGTCATATCACTCATATGTGTTCACCGGCCGGCCAGTTATAATTTGTTGTGTACTTATCATAACTGGGAATACATATGGAGTAGTGGGAGTTAAGTATCATCTTTATTTATTTTATTGAGGGGTCAAGGGATACTGGACTCGATGTGACAAAGTGAACCTAAGGTATAGAATACATCGTGTATTTATTTTCTTTTTCTTCTCCGAGGTTGATGTCTCCATTCTGGCCCTGTGTGGCTTTCTAGTTTGGAGCTCCCGCATGCAGGGGTATTCGGTGGTCACACGACCCATTTGCTAGTATGAACTCAGAACTGGTAAAAGTCATTATCTTTCATGGGTGAGTGGGAGATGACGGTTGAAACACCCGGTGAAAGGGTGTATGTGAGAATAGACATAACCGTAGGATATAACCATTGTACTGGTTGTGTCTCTTGCATAAACACCACTTGAATCCTATAAAAGTATAGGTTCTATATGACAAATATATAGGCAAAAACACCAGAAAAGGAAACGTGAGTTATCAGTTTTGGTGAGTGGCATTTGGGTTGTGAATCTGCAGTTCCGACTCTAGTAGCCAGTTTTCGACCATCGTCCAGAGAATTAGAAGACTGTGATTTCAACCAAGGAAAAGATCGACAGAATCGGTACGTAACTACACTTCCGTATTCTTACATTCATACAATGGTTTGATTAATTAGTGGTATAAATGTTATAAAATGTCAACTAAATATATGAGATAGAGAAGTTTAATGAGAGTAATTTCTCGATATATATGGACAAACAAAAACAATGGCAATTTCGTTGAAAGAGAGTTGTATGGTGGCCATCAGAGAAAGACCAGATGCGATGAGCGATGAGCAACGAAACAAAATAAATGATAGTGACATTATGAATATGCATCTAGGTCTTATCGATTACATCTTGAAAGGTGTAGAAGAGTTGGAGATTGCGAAGCAGATTTGGGATGCTTTGACGAAACTGTACGAGACGAAGTCATTTCACAATAAGATTTTATTTAAGGCCATATTAGTGTTTTGAATGCACTATTTTCGAAATTCTAAAAGATGAGTTATAGATGTGAATGTGTAAAATTCCTACTCCAACATTTGTCAGGTTCCTGTGGTTCACTCATCATCAACATGATACCAATATTTTCGTAGACTATTTAATCTATGATGATTTTGCAACTACTTGTTCTGAAAAAGAACGAAAGCGAAAAAATAAGCAAAGTATGTTGTACATTAGGTAGAAGCTCACAATAGTGAAAGAAAAATGATAAGTGTTCTAAATTGGAGAAAGAGAGGGATTTGGGTCAATATATAAGGAGGGTCAAACCTCCATTTAAGACTAGGATTTGGTTGGAGTTAGGGCCCAAATTATATCAGAAAAACAACGAAACATAGTTTCAATGATAGTTAAAACGCTTAGAAGTCAAAATACGGAGGTAAAAAGTATATCAAATGTTATTACTATGGTAAGAAAGGTCCCACTAATAAATAATGTGTTGGATTTGAGTTTAATTGACAGAATCAAAACGGATCTAACCGGTGAGAAGCCCGATCCGTGGAAAGTTTTAGAAACTTTAATAAAAATCTGCAGAATATTAAGAGAATATTCTTGATTGATTTTGAAATTCAAATCTGTAGAAAATCTATCAAATATGATCAAGATAATATCAAAATAAAATCTAATTTAAATTTGAAAATCAAATTAATTTTATTTTGAGATTCTTCCCTCTACTATAAATAGGGGTCTTGGGTTAGTTAATTTAACACAGAGAAAAAAAAAAGCATTCTAGAGAAAATAAAGTGTATTCGCATATATGTTCATATCTCTCTCAGAGTCCACTTAGTATTTGGAAAGCTTCTTCCGAATACGCGGCCGTTGTATCTTGAGAGGTGGCACGGAAATTGAACTTAAGAAAACTATGTTTCATAGGCCTCGACAAAATAATCTTTTATTTCAGGTTCTTATTTGGAATCGTTCGAATTGACGGAATATTGCCGTCGTCAACAACTGTCGCCCCCAATATAATGTTGGTACTACTATAAGTGTGAAGAAAATGAAGAGCAAATTCTCAACAACAACAAAAGTCATCAAATAGAGATATATTGTATAATGAGGTGACAACCGAAGGAAGATAGAAATTTTCTGATGTTTGACTTATAAACTTGAAAACAATATATGGCATATGATCTCTCGAAGAGAGTGATTCTATCAATACAAAACTATTTCAAAAGGATTTGTGTTCATAGAAAATGACCGTACCTAGGAGATTGTTGACATTGGTAAGGACATGATGCTGAAGATTTGAATGATTAAAGAAAATGAAGAAGCTCAACGCAATAAAAGAAAAAGCTGGAGGAAAAAAGGTTGGAGATCGGGGAAAAAAAAAAGTTGAACAAATTATTGGTCGAAACAGTTAGAAGAAGTTGAAGGATGAGTTATTTGTCGATTTTAGACTAAAACCTTCGGTCCGGAGCCCGACCTTATGGACTTTTTTCGGGTTTGGGCCGGACTTCGATCGGACTTGAAATTTTTTTTAAAAACTTTTAAACAAATTAAAATAATTAAATACAAAAATTTTAATGCATTTCATGATAATAAAAAGGTAAAAAATAGATTACAAAGTTATATATTTTGATCTAATATAAATTAATTTTTTTTTTTTAATTTTATATGGTAATAAATTTTTAAAAATGATAAATTATTATATTTTTCATTTGGAATAATTATTTGAAACTAATAGTATTATAATTTTGATTATATCATTTATGAAAATATTACATCCTAAATTATTTAGTATTAACCAAGTTTTTAGTTTTTTTAGAACTTTCTATATTATATAATATTTGTATATTTTTTATACATGTATATATATTATAAATATATATATATATATAAGATTGAATAAATGTATATATATATATGATTCAATATGTGCGAATATATATATGTAAATATATTTACCTATATACACATATATTTATATTTTAATCGGGCCTACTGGCCGGACCGACCCAAATCCGCTTTTGGCCCGCAATTTTCCGGACCGGACCGGCCCGGCCTGAAGAACGAACAGACCTTGATTTGTGAAGTCCGAACTCGTAAATTTTATGGGCGGGTTCGGGTCGGGTATCGGGCCTCATGCTTTTTTTGACACCCCTACTTTTAGTAGACAAGATTTTATGGTTATTTTGTAACTTACCTCCTTAAATACATGTATTGACGGCTGATGAAGCTTGACGCAATACATATATTGCAGTTATAAGTATGTATTGAAGTTAACGCATCAATAACTGACCTTTCTTAGCGTGGTTTTAAGGGTAAAAAACTCCTCTTTTAGTTGGGCAAGTCCTTCCAGTTGCATGAAAAATTGAAAACCCTTCCTTCATTTTCTATTCAGCATCGCATATTTGAAAAAAAAATCTTAATAAGCTTTTTTTTTTCATTTGGGCAGTTAATCTCCAACTGGGCAAAAAAATTGTTGTTCGATTTTCATTAAAAGAGCATCGGTATTGATCAGCAAACCCAGCGATCTGATAAAACCCGAGATTGGATTCTGTCGGAAAACTAGATTGCTTCTATTTCGATACTTCCGACAAATTATATCAAATGCCGACAAGCTTTGAAAGTGTCTTGTCATAACCATTTACAGATCCTCTATCTATAACGGAGATACACATAACATAGAATGTGAATTGAAACCCAAAAGAGGACTTGTACAAATACAAGCATGAAGCTGAAAACAAAGCATATAATTGACAGTCATGAGATGCATAGAGTTACTATTCGCTTATTATGATAAAAGCTTGAATCTTTACCGTCACAAAGGCTTATTCCTTCATTCTTCAAGGACGCTATGAGAATATCCGAGTAATCTCGTAGAACTCCAACTCGGATTTTCCAGGGGAACGCTTCGCCGGTTTAACTGCTTGAATACGATGCGATAACCTCGAACATTGGCAAATCTAATGTCGGTTCAGTTACAAACTGTGAGCTCTTTTTGCCTCATCTTCCCTTCTACTGTCCTGCAAACATCAAGCTGAGAACTTCTGAGATGGTATTTTAGATCTTAGAGGAACTAATTACTTCATAACAATCATTAAGATAGAGTTTTACTGCCAAACCAATCCTTTGACGTTTTTGTTAAATTAGAAAGTGTTAACTAATGAGTTAAAAAACATAATATGCCATTTTATTATTACCCTAAACCAGTTTCCATACCCACAAGTTAGTCATAAAGTGAACTTGAACTAATCCAAACAGAAGACTGTCCCCCATGTCATAGGCTAGAGTGAAGATCTCTTCTGCATACCTCGAAGTCTTTCGACTCTGTTTCTTGGACGAAATGTTCCGGCTCAACGTTTCCCTTGATAATTTTTGCACCACACCCTGGTGTTTCAACCGAACCAACTGCCTCTTCATCTACCAGAACTGCTCTTATACCATGAGACCCTTCTGTGATGCTGTCCGGTACCTGTTTAGGACACACAAAAAAGAAAAAAAATATACTAACGCAATTATAGGGTATTAGTAAAAAGAGAAGTCCAATATGTTTGCCTACACAGTAAGCAAACACCTTTTGTCCCTCGAAGAATCACAAATTAGGGCTAACCAAAGGAATGGGGAAGTTAATGTAAGGTTTCTTGCTCTTTCTTGTCCAAAGAAAAGGGAAAAGGCAACCAAGAATATTGAGGAACCAGAGGCAGCAATTTTCTACTACACGAATGTGTGCTCATGCAGTTAGAGTCCCACATCGGAAATATGTGGGGACAATTGGGGGAGGGTGGCCATGGTCTTATATACACTCGGTTTTCCCCACATATTTCCGATGTGGGACTATATAACACATGCATTTCAATAAATAAGGAAAAAGTGCTTGAAGTAAAACACTTAATTTCCGATACCTCGAACATTGCTTCCGTGAGAATACTTTCTAATAGAGATCGTAAGCCACGCGCACCGGTGTTCTTGGACATCGCTTTCTTTGCAATCATCCTGGTTGCTCCTTCAGTAAAGAGCAATTGAACCTAACATTTCATCCAGAAAGATAGGTTAAAGATAGGACAGCCGCATGGGAAGAGTCCCACAACAGAAAAACAACTTACACTGTTCATGCTAAACAGCTTCTTGTACTGTTTGCCCAGCGCATTTTTGGGTTCCATGAGAACCTATCTCAGGAGGGAGAATTTTCAGGTTACAGTTTTACAGATGAATGAGAAAGTTGGCTGAAATTTCTGTTTGCAATCAAAATAAAATTATTCATAGTGCTAAGTGCTAACGAGTACATGTAGTAGTGGACAAAATATATCAATTAAGCAAGAAAAAGAAAAAAGAGTCTTTTACAAAATCTAATTCTCTTCATCATTGAAGGACAAGGAAAACAGAGAAGCTAATCACCGTTCATGAACCCGTTCATTAGAAAACCAACAAGCGCAAAATGGGGTGAAAAATGCTACCTGCACGAGCTGATCTTCGTTTAAAGCAGATAAGCTCACTAAGATGGGTACCCTTCCAACAAACTCAGGAATCAGACCATAAGTAACAAGATCTGCACTCTCTACCTACACATCAACAGAAGCCCGTAAATGTTCTCCTTACCAAGACAATTACCAGGTTTCTGAAATTTTACAAAGGAAAAAAGTCGAGAAATCTACATTTAATGAGCCATATAGGAAATTGTCTTACCAATTCCAACAGTGAGGATACTATAGCAGTACTGAACCTACTAGTAGTCATGTTTGAACGAACAGGAGCACCAAAACCAATAGAAGCATCATGCTGCCTGGTCACAGAAAAATATTAATGCCCTTCAAGTCCTCTCACCAAATACAGAGAAATGACAATGAACAGATTTTGCATCTCTACGGCTAGATAATTTACCTTTCCGATACAGTTTTCTCTAAATCGACAAATGCTCCACCACAAATAAAAAGGATATCTTTTGTATCCATCTGCAAGTTAGATTTTTTCAAAAGAATTTAGGTTAATGTCATGCAAAAAATTATTGTCTGAGTCAACACACAAAATCTAAAACAAAATAGCAAATGCAGCACACGAAAATTCGTCAGGCATGACACCTGAATGCAATCTCCTCGAGGGTCTCTACGAAATCCTTTATCGGGAACTGGAACACTGACCACCTGCAAATACAGATAATTGAAAATCAGATAAATACTGGAATTCTCAATTTTGTCACCACCTAGAAGCCAAAAGAAATGATAGAATACACATGTTACATACAATTAGCAACGATTTGCAGGTTAAATAGATTGATTTTATTAAGCAATAGACTACAAGACTGTCACTTCCACGCTACCTTTTTATTTACCTTTGAAGACACGCGAGACTAGGCACGAAAGGTACACAGCCAAATGAAGTATCTTCCATTCTAAGAGTTTTCTCTAAACAATACATTGCATCCAGCACATGAGAAAAGGTAAAAGATTTGATTTAGAAAAGGCTTACAGTTCCTTCCAGCAATTTTAGCAAAGCCTGTTGGACACCTTCTCCAGAGACATCTCTACCACCATTTGAGCTATGAGACTGCGAAGGGAAAAACAGATTGCCAAGTAATGAGCATTAACCTAGCTAGTGCCATATAATAAGTAACTAACGAAGAAAATTTAGACCTTCTTAGTTATCTTATCAACTTCGTCAATATAAACAATTCCTCGCTGAGCTGCATCTACATTGAACCCAGCTTCCTGAAAAGAAAAGATACATCCAGATACTTTTAACAATAAACAAATACACATAAAACATAAATGTCGCCGAATAGCAAGCATATGTAACAAATTTCTTGCATCTCAATAATACTGGATTAGGTGTGGACTTGTGGAGGGAAAAAAATCCAAGTGTTCTGAGCTATTGTACATAAAAATTGAATGCATAAAACCAAAAACTTAAGGCCAAATATGTAATTTCAGAAGAAGTCAATTATAAAACTATATGACCAAGCAATACAGAAGATATCCCATGAAAGGACATGCCAATATACTTGAAAACAGAGATATGATATTTGGTGATAGGAGCCCATACCACTAGTAGTTTATACAATATTGATTCCACATCTTCACCAACATAACCTGCCTGGACAAGAATAGTAAGTAGTTCAGTATAAAAAGTGTAACAAGGAAGCAAGATAAGAGATTGTAGCAGAAATTCTGATTGCCCTAAGGAATGAAACAAAAGCCTAATCTAGACAGAATGAAGACCAATAATGTCAAAGTAGATCTAGGTTGAGTAAAGTTATATCAATATTTCAAACAGGGAGCAGAAAACAAAGAAGCATTCCTACAACTGGCATAAAACCACACATGCCGTACTGTAGTCCAATAACCAGTTATAGTTTTCTTCGTTGTTGTCAAAGAACTCTACAGTATAAAATGTAAGACATCAAAAACTGGACAACACTCATGTTCCAATTTGTCAAATACCCGTATCTTTAAAGAGTAAGGGAAGCCACTTGCCTGAGTTAGAGATGTGGCATCAGCAATCGCAAATGGTACATTCACTATCCGTGCTAAAGTTTTTGCAAGTAAGGTCTTCCCTGTCCTTATGTTCAAGCAAGAAACATGAACGCAAAGATAGTAAGCATACTAGTTCTTACAAATTTTTACCTCAGAAGCACAATGACTACGTGTACAAGCCAGGACAAGAACACAAGTGATCATAGAACTAAAATATGCACCTGAGCCTGTAGGGCCGATCAACAACACATTGCTCTTATCCAACTCCACAAGGTCAATGTTGTCATCATCATCCATATCGATGTTACCTGATTCTGAAGCAGACCTGGAATTCAAACAGTCAGGGGAATCTGGGGATCAAGATGCAAATAGTGGAAACATATAGCAGGCAACTTCTAGAGAGTGATGAAGTTGACAATCAATCAAGATGAACCGAAGATCAACGGTCACAAGACTATATATGACAGACCCTTTTCTCCAGGAGGCGTGGTATACTCTTTTGTAGTGGTTGTAGACAGCCACAGAAAGTACCTGCAGATGGAAACATGTCCAATGAGATACTTCCACATAATTTACAACATTGATGTAAAGGTTATCTAAGAGCTCCAAAAACACTGCAGCAACACCTAGACAAGAATCTATTTCCAATTTCGGAATAATCCATCATTAAGTGCTATCAACAAAACACCAATTGCACACGAATTCGAATTATGCCAAAACGGAAATTCATCAAACGCAGAAACCGACCTTCTTAGCCTTCTGTTGACCAATGACAAACTCATCTAACTTCTGACAGATTTCCTTCGGAGTCGGTAACTTCTTCATCACAGAATCCTTCTCCCTATCACCACCATACTCATTGTCTTCCTCCTCATCATTACCTTCCTCGCTTCTAAAACCCTGCATTTTCCACCTCCTCCCAAACACGTCCTCCGAAACCCCATCATCGTCCCCTGTCCCTTTGACCATACCGAGCTCGATGAAGCTTCCTTCCAAGGGAACCAACTTAAATGGTCTGAAGTAGAAAGCCGTCTTGCATTTCGGACAGAAATTAACAGCTTGATAGATTCCAGGTTCTCTGGCTGTGAGCGACAAGGGCCGGTTTGAGAAAACGACAGGCATCTGGGCCGAGCAACGGGGACAGTTGACGTCAGCCCTGATGTGATCATAACCGCTGCCGCCTCCTCCGCCGCCGCAATCGCCGCCGCTGCCGTGCCATTTATGACGGGAAAACGAGGTAGGGATTTGGGTATTGGGGATGAGATTACTGCGAAGGCATAGAGGAGGAGGGAAGGAGGCATTTGGGTGGTTGTGGTGTTGGTGGTGGTGGAAATCAGCGGCGAGGAGGAATTTCCCGGCGAGATTAGAAGGGTTTTTCCTCAGAATACATCGCGACAAGGAACAGAACATGTCTCGTCTCTGCGTTTCCTCTTCTCTTGCTTCAGCTTTTGTTGGGATTTTGGCCGAAACCACCGAGCGTTCGCAAAACCAAGTCCAGGTGGAGAAAATGATGTTCGGGTCGGGTCGGGTCGGTCTCGGTCGGATTCGGGTGTGACAATTCTCTTTTTTTTTTCTTTACCTTATTCTTGTTGGCGCAAGAACTTTGATAATTCAGTCGTAAAAAACATATTTTAATATTTAATTTTATAGTGAAATATTTAATAAAATTATCTAATATAACATATTAAGCTTAATATATTTGTCACGTTGGAAATAACGTTAAGTGATGATATAATACATTAATAAAAATTAGATGATATATTCAAGTATACTACCTTCAATTTTGAAATATATTATATAAAATAAAAAGTGGTTGACAAAGAATAAGAGAGACCTCATAACTATTTGATTGAATTAGATGGGTTCTCGAATCAGTAGGTTTAAACGTCTCCTCATCTGAACTAAGTGTGTCAAATGAACCACTTCGGTTCGACTCGTGGTGAGCCGACTCGTTTTGAACGAGCCGAAATGAACCACTTCGGTTCGGTTTTGGTTTAGTGTGATTCACCAATTTTTCAAGTTAACGAATCGGTCTCGTGATTCACCAGATAGAAACAATATAATATTTTTATTTATCTTATAAAAAATATCAAATAAAATGATATTTTAATATAAAATTTAAATATTAAAATATCAAATTATTGTATATAAAAAAATTATACATATATAATTAATAAAAAAAATTAAATTAAGTAATAATTATTTATAAAATATAAAAACAAAATAAAATAATATATAATTTAAAAAAACATCTAAATTCACGAGTCAGCTCGTGACTCGCCACGCTTGCGAGCCGTAGCGAACTCACTCGTTAGGTTCATTTTCAAACGAACCTTAAAAATACTGTGTCGACTCGTTAAAACGAGCCAGACCGCCAGCTCCACTTCGAGCTCATTGCATCCATCAATCGGCAATTTGTATAAAACTGTATCCGGTTCAAACACAATCTAAACCCCAAATAGAAATGATTTCTTTAAACCAAATTAAACAAACCCGAACATAATATGAAATTAACCGAAACAGACGGACGAAAACGAAAAAATCTCTTTATCTCTATAAAAACTAAACACAGACAGAACCGGAATCTACAGAAAACTGAACTGTATAGTTTTTCCAACATCAAAAGACTTGAACCAAAAAATTACCTAACCAAAATCCATAATAACCATTCCTAACAGCTTCAATTATACAAAAGTGTTCTCTCTGGAAAAAGGTCATTGATATGGATTAACCAAAATATTTAAAAAAAAAAAAAATCTGTGCACAGGCGGTTCCTTAAACAGTATTACGAAATGGGAGAAACCGATGATCACGACAAAGAAAATATGGTCCTTTCTTGAACCTTGGCTTAAATGAGATGTGGTGAGCATATTTTAAACCACTAATACCAAGAAGCCAAACGACAAACGAGATGAATTCAAGTTATTGTGGGTTCTGCTGCATTTGTTGACCACCACCCAAGTTTTGAAGGTTCTGTTGTGCATTTTGCAATGGCACCATATTAGGAGGTTGTAGATTCTGGGCATTCCCTTGCATGCTTCCAAAGCCTCCTCCTCCTCCTTGTTGTTGTTGTTGTTGTTGTTGCATTTGCGATTGTGGTTGCTGCTGCTGCTGCTGCTGTATCGGCATCATTCCACCGGTATTCGTTGCTCCCATATTAAACACTGCAAAAAAAAAAAACCAGTAATAACAGAAGTTCGGGGGCAAAGTATCGGAATGTAGACGAGGTTTAGAGTGAAATTTTAGACAGAATGCTTACTTTGGTCCCCCAAGATCTGAGAAGCATGTGTCCTCTGTTGGTTGACACCAGATAATCCAAACTACAACAACAAAATAAGCTCAAAAACTAAAATTTAGATCTCAATGTATGCATATGCTATGACTAAGTTTCCTGTTATATGATGAGAATGCCTCCATAGGAATTCCTCTGTGAGGGTGAGAAATAATTTGGAAATCGCAAACCGGTTTGAGTTTTTTTGCTAACCTGCATCCTTGGATGGAGTGTCTGAGATGATATAGTCCCTGACATGTTCGGAATCTGATTTTTTTTTTATAGAAAGAAATTCAGTAAAATCAAGGAAGAGAAAACAAAGTCATAATAATAACTTCAAAAGATAATTTGATGCCTCGAAACCAGTTTCCACAACCCATTGCAACGGCGTTTAAGAAATAAAACAAAGAAAGAAAACGTATAACAATATAAAGAACATCAAGTTTTCTTTGAAGATCACATTAGCAGCTTTTAAGCCGTTTATGCATATCAAGTAATACGACTAGAACCATTATATGCAGAACCAATTACCAATTGATCGACATAACAAGGTATCTGTGAATGAATGTCATTCTCTGTTACTCTTTTCCAAATCGGTAGTATGACGAATGCAATCACGTAAAAAGGGAAAAGAAACACATCTCACCATCTGGCTGCTCGGTGTCCCCTGTGCAGTAGTAAAAAGTCCGGTGTTTGGTGTGCCTGAAAACTGGTTTAAATGACGGTTCATTGCTGGATTGAGTTGGCCTTGAGCCATGCCGTGCTGAAGATGCCCAGTTGGTAGCTGCCGAGCTTGGAATTGTTGGTGCCCCATTGGCTGAGAATATGGCATTTGATGTTGACCATGTAACTGGCAAAGAAGTTCAGTGATTTAAGATGTTGATTGACAAGAAAACAAAGGAGGAAAAATCAAGTATAACTGATTGTCAAGAGAGAAAAAAAACATGCCCCATTCCCATGAAAAAATGTAGAAACCACAGAGTCACTAATCATCTCTTAAGAATGGCCAAGAATTTCGTTTCTCCAACAAAAGTTTAAGGCATAATGTGTCTATGGTCTCATCAAGGGATTTCATATCTTCAGGATCTCTTTACAAGTGCTTGCATTAACATTTTTCCCCTCAAGAGCAACTTTTTAAGCTTGGGTATCCTGATAACTGATAGAACTAATGGGCCTGCGACCCCAAAGATTTCACTACTCTTTACTGAGAAGAATAAATCAACTAAGGTTTAGTTACATGGTTATTTTTAGTTAACCAAGGTTGGTTAGGCGCTCTATTATACACTACGTAAAGAGAGGATTTTGGGGTTTTGAAGTTTGGTTTGTGTAAAGGTTGGGGAGTGAGAGGAGCCCCATTAATCATATCCTAAATTGTTGTTCCTGTTATAATCAGTAATCTATACAGACTCGTACTTCTACTTTTAGCCATTTTCTGGGTTTTCCAATCTTCATTTCATAACAATAGCTTAGATGAATTTAATTATAATCTCTGCACGTATAATAGGTACAGGTAAAATTTACCGTTTGAAACTTCTGCTGAGCTTGCCCGTGCAAGTCGTGGAGTGAAGGCATCTGAGTCCATGCAAAAGAATCAGCATTCCCACATGACGCATTCAATAGTCGTAAAAAGTAGTGTACCAAATAATACTTTAGGAGCTAACACAAGCTTTAATTAGAAAACGAGAATTGCTAACAGAGGTGATAGGGGAAGTTACTTCCTGACCTGACCAAGTCCTTGCATAGAAGATTGCCTAAGCTGTTGTTGCGCGAGCAGTTGCTGTTGATGTTGAGGCAGCTGCAGTAATTTTGCCCTTTGCTGTTGTTGAATTTGTTGTTGCTGGGTTTGTTGTTGAGGAGACGGTGCATTAACCATCGTAGCACCAGATCGAGGTGAGTTAGCATATGGTAGAGGAGATTGTGTGTTATCAAAGCTACCACCAGTTGGACCTGATGGAGATGCAGCTGACCTTCCCATGAGATGTACTCCAGAAGTCTACCACAATTAACAATAGGAAGGTTAAAAGGTAATCACATAATAAGGATGTGATATCAAACATAATAATATGTTACTACGTCTTCTTTTACAAAACCGAAAATATATTGCGAATGAATAGATAAAAGTGGTTTCATATCTAACCTGCAAAAGGTTGCCCTGACTGTTGATGCTGTTCGATGACATGGTTAACGCATTCTTCATGGGCATGCCTAATAAAGGTGGATTTTGGACATTTTAATAGAACCGAAGAGGATCCAGTAATAAAATAAGAGTAAGTACAGACTCTAGAATGTGGGATTTACTTCTACCAGACGAGTCAGTGAAATTGCCCCCTCCATCATTGACAGTTAGCACATCTGCTAGATGTGGTGGAAGTGCAGTGGTAATCTGCCTCTGGTCTCCGGGAAGTCGTGTTCCTTGAAATATAGTTGCAAACGAGTTAAGATGACGTTAAAAGCTCATTGTATACATCAAACTCACACATCGGATTTTATTATTATCAAACTTCGATCATCAAAATCATGTTCATCTAAAGACGAAACTATAAGACTAGTGATGCAACAAGAGTTAAAGGCAATCGAAGCATCACCTTCACCATAATTCACAGCAGCACGGAGCAGATTCTCCTGTTCTTGGATCTTAGCAGCTTGACCCTTGTCCAAAGTGGGAAGAATAGTAGGGCCTTGACGAGTACCAAAGCCGTAGGCTTTACGAGTATCAGCTAATACTTTCTCTGCATTCTCACAAGCTGTCGCAATCATGTCAATCCTCGCCTAAAAAACAAAAAGAATAAATACTTAAAAAGTAAGACCCTGAATGGAAAAGGGAAGGATCTATAGGAAACAGAGAATCACCTTTAAACTCTCAATTTGCATGGGTATTGGCAAGTTCCGAACACCATGCAGTAACTGCTCTCTCTTTGAGTTGTCATCACTTTCCATCTCCGGCAGTAGCTTGGAGGACAACATAACAGGTAAAACTGTTGATCACCAAGAAAATTAAGCAACCTTCTTTCGCATATTTGGGATTCAATAATACAGAATATCCAATACGAAAAAGACCATACCAGCAGCACTCTCAGCATTAACATTCTTTGGATGCACCACAAAGGCCTTGGAAACTTTCCTCACATCTTCAACAATGTTAAAAAGCTCTAGATTCACCATCGAATATTGCCCCAGAATATCCTGCCTGAAAAAGTCTTCCAAAAATCACTCAAACAAGACCTAACAAAAACCGAAAATGGAAAACAGAAAACAGGACAGAGATTGTACCATTTGGGGATGGTATTGGTCTGAGCATAAGCGTCAAAATCTTCAAGAATGCGAGAAATTGCCTTGTAGAGACTCATTGCTCGAGTCTTCACTGCCTCCAGGTTCAGTAGCTGCACCACTTCCTGGTTCAGCCTCTCCACCACTACTGGCGCCTGCGGCTGGGCTTGCGGTGGCTGCCCTTGCTGCAGCTGCGGCTGTGTCATCCCCACTCCTCCCTCCATAAGCGACTGAGTTTCTGGAACAGATTCTACAGATTCCTTCTTCCAGCAGGCTAAACTCTGTCTTAGGAATAGCTGAATGTAGATGTCTGGTAAAGCTTCTCTATGGAGAACAACGGCCTCTAGGTCAAAAACCAAGTTTCATATAAATATGTTATTATGGACACTAAACTGAGAGCCAGTGTCTAGTCAAATATCAGACTAGGGGTTATCCATCAAATTTTAGCACTTCACTGTATGACGAGAATTAACGAGGACCAAAGCTAGAGGAAGCCAGACCTAAACATAAGCTCTGAAAGATTCCTACGAGGGTATAGTAAGACTGCGAAAGAACTAAGTTTCCTAGAGACCTCAGTCTCGAATATAGCTAAATGAGCTCTCTGTCATGAAATTGTCTATAGCTAAGTTGGAAGCTTGACTCGGTAGACTTGCAACCTTAAACACCACAGATTGCTCAAAGGGGGAACTAGGACTAAAATTGCTAGAATATGCAACAGGATACGCGAATGATGAGGGTGCAGTAGTGATATCAAGTAGGCTCACGAACAGGACTAGGCTCGGAAGTGTAAAGGTTCAGCCTGATCACACTTGAAGGGGCCTGCAGATTTGACTCTTATGCCAGGATAACAAAAACTCACAACCAAACCTAAGTACAAAACTCACTACCAAACTTAAGTACATGTGACAAAGCTCCCTACCTCGACATTTTACCATTATAGCTCCCTACCTCATGTCAAATTTTGACATGAGGAGAAATCTATCAAGGTTACCAAAACCTGCATGTCTCACTATTGGAGCAATCAAGCCACTTAGAGTTACTTCCTCATTACCCAAGCTGTTAGCCTATGAACAACTTTATAGAGTTGAAGGGGTAGAAAAACAGTAAATTTCAAGGCAGGGGACTCATTAAAACAAGCATAAATCACGTCCAAATCACCATGACTCAAAGAACCTACCTCACACCAACCAATGAAACCATAAGAAAAAAATGAGTTACAAACTTCAGGCAGAAGAGAAATAGTACAAATAAAGCTCACGAGATCTATCGATGGAACTCTTTTTACCTCAAGGCAAGCGCAAAATATCACAAAGATCATCAAGAGAAAGAACTACCATTTGGGTGATTTTAAACAATAAAATTCTCAAATAAAATGGACCTGAATCTATTATTAGCGGCAAACCAAGACTACAGCATACGAATTCAGTCCCATTAAACCGAATATAGCTTCCCGCACATCATAGATCAAAGCTTCAGTGATAATCCGCCATCAATCAAAAGTTTCCAACAACAAGAAAAAGGAGTAAAAAATATATATGTAAACCGACGACAATCAGCTAGCAAATAATCTAGAAGAACAGTACCAATTCATTCTGAAGCTAAGCAGGATCCAAAACTGAGCTAAGCGAATGATTCTGCGAATCTTATAACCAGTGTTTACAAATTGAGCAATCGATGGCACATTTTAGCACAAAGCACACCTAATCGGCACTAAAGGACTGAAATTTGACAAGGTTTCACCAAGAAAAAACACAAATCGGAATTCGAAAACAAACCCAATAGCATGATTCATAAAAACAGTCTTCGATCAAAAAATCTCCCCTATACTTGCAATATGGTAATCGTGAAAAAATTAGGGTAGGGTCTAACCTGGTGAGTGAGCTAAATGGGAAATTTTTTGCTGAAATTGAAGGGGTATTTCTGTTCGTGAGGGAACTAGGGTTCGGGTTCAGGAACCCAACCCCTTCAGGTCGCCGGATAACAGAAGAATATGGTCACTGCCTCGCCGGAACTGGGTCAGGAACGGAGTATTCATTGAGAGAACTTGAGAAAACCCAGAAATTCAGAATAATCTGTAGCCGTTAGATCTTGAATAGAATAATTCAAACCGTCAGATGTAAATAAAATTGCGTCTGCGTTGCAAGGTCACTGCGACTGCGTTTCAGACTCGCTATGACCGCCGCGTGGTCTAGCGACTCGTTATACATGATCGTTGTTTTATTTATGTTACGACTATGGACGACTATTAGTAAATAATTGGTAAACGGTTGTTATTCCAATTGTTTTTTTTTTTGGTAAACTTGTTATTCCAGTTGTTGCTAATTAAAAAGATCATTTGATAACTAATCTGATAGCAGACTTAATAAAAAAAAATATCGTCATAAATTTCTTAAAAATATTTTTCTGTAGACTTCGATTAAAAAAATATATCAAATAGTTTATATAATCTATTGATTAAAATTTTCAAATTATTTTTTACACTTTAATCCATTTGTAGATTAAAAAAATCATATACATATATATATATATATATATATATGAACACATATATTCATACTTACAAGTCATTCACACTTAAGCATTTGTTTTCTAAAGGGAAGTTTTGTTTAGGGTACAAAAACACACCACCTCGATTCGATTCGATTTGGGCCATATTTTATTGATGTTTTCCAAATACTCAGACCCTAACGAGCCGATTTACGAATTCAGCATAAATATTCGGGTTAATCCCATATTCCCCACAAATTTTCGAAAAAGTTCCAATTTCCTACAACAATTTTTAATTTGATAAAAAATTACACCGGATTTCAAATATTTCCAAATTCTCACATAAAATCTTAAAATGTGTTGCACGTCATACAAATTTCGTCAAATCATCACATTTCGCCACATCATCCTGCCACGTCATAAAATAAATAAATTTTTTTAAATTTTTTTAAAACTAATAAATAAAATAAAAAATACAGAATTTTAAATTTTATTTTTTTAAAATAAAATAGAAAATTATATACACATATATACGCACTTTTATATCTATACACAATTATATACATATATATATACACACATATATACATCTACATACATAATTATATATATATACACACTTATACATTTACATATATACACACTATTACATATATACAAAATTTTTTAAAAAAACTTTTAAAAAATTACAGAATTTTAAAAATTATTTTTTAAAAATAAAATAAAAAATTATATATACATATATACACATAAATAATATATATATATTCACACATATGTATATATACATATTCATATATATACATATATATCCATATATGCATTGAATATATACATATATATGTATATATGTATACAAAACTCACTACCAAACTTAAGTATATATATGTATATATATGAATATGTATATATACATATGTGAATATATATATATATATATATATTATTTATGTATATATATGTATATAATTATGTATGTAGATGTATATATGTGTGTGTATATATATATATGTATATGTATATAATCGTGTATAGATATAAAAGTGTATATATATGTAATATGTAATTTTTTTATTTTATTTATAAAAAATAAATTTTAAAATTCTATAATTTTTTAAAAGTTTTTTAAAAAAATATTTCATTTTATTAGTTTTTTAAAAAAAAATTGGAAATTTTTTATTTTATTTTATTTTTTACTTATTTTCTGACGTAGCAGGATGTGATGATTTTGATTTGGCATAATCTGTATGACGTGGCATACCACGTCAGCATCAAAATTGACGGAACTTAACGTCGTTTACAGATATGGGGGAAATTGCAACACATTTTAAGATTGTGTGCGAAAATTTGGAAATATTTGAAATCTGGTGTAGTTTTATGTCAAATTAAAAATTGGTGTAGAAAATTGGAACTTTTTCGAAAATTTGTGGGGGAATATGAGATTAAGCCTAAATATTCACATAACACATAACACACGTTCAACAAAAACGATAACATAACATAAATCCGATACAAACAATGGAATCAAATACAAATATAACTACCGCTTTCTATTTGTCTCGATTGATAAAACGATAAATAATAAGTCATAATTGTATCCAAATTCAAATGACAAAAGTCTAATAGAAATGGAAAAATCAAAATTGTACTCTTCATGTGCACACCACCTTGAGAACAAACATCAAGAATACTCCGATCGTGTCCCACGTTTTTCACCGATATATCCCAAAAACATATAAAAAAATATCAAAAGACAATATTATCCTTAAAAAAAACTGAAAAAATCTATGTTACCCTTAATAGAAATGAAATTGAGATAATACACATATGTGGATTGAAAAAAATTCACCAATTCTGCCAAAGTAAAAAAGGAGTTAGGGATTTTTACACATTTCAAAATAAAAATAAAAAAACTCAGAGAAAGGCGTCGAGAGTGAAAGATAACTTGATAGAGCAAAAACTATAGGAAATCGAACCAAATGGACCAAAACCCAGTGAAATCAAATGACGAAACCCAGAATCGAGAGAAAATGGAGGGGTCTTTTTCTTCGTCGAGCGAGAAAGGTTCAAATCGGAGTGATGTATCTGGGTCAACCGAAAAAATATATGCACGAAAGAGAATGACAGAGTATTTTTCTCTTGATATCGAAGTAAATATTTTGGCTAAGCTTTTTCGAATAGGTAGGAAAGTTAGTTTGGATTTAAATATAAAAAGTTTGGTTGATGATTAGCAGTTGAAATTTGGTTTTAAACGGTCATTTATGCGAAATCGTTCAAATTATGTGATGGTTTAGAGTGGAATTGAAAAATTACGAAATGTTTTGTATATGTTCGTTATTTAATCTTATTTGCAACTTAAAATTGCAAAGTTGTTTATGTATGTGAATTTGTCATAGTTGCCACTAAATATTACAAATGTTAGGTGCAAAGTCGTTCGTACATAGTAATATTTGAATGTGTATATTAGGGGTAGGTATAATATCCGAAAAAACCGAACCGATCCGTTATTCGACTCGTATCCGAACTGAAAATTCGAATATTCAGAGTTCACGGATCGGATACGGATATTAGTTTCAAAATATTTGTCGGATACGGATCGGATACGGATATCAAAATAGAATTATCCGACATATCCGATCCGATCCGGACTTTTTAGTAATATTAATAATATATGAATGATTTGGTAATTATTTTATATTTAAAGGTAACATTGTAATAAATAAAAGATGTTCTAGGGTTTTGTTTATCATTTTTTTCTTTGTTCATTTGTCTGCCACCTCTCTCGTCTCTCTCCCCCTCTCTCTCTCTCCTCCTTACTCCATCATTTCTGTTGACCATTGACAAAATCTTAAGTTAAAATCTTTTACGAAAATGCAGAGTTTGCTTGTCGGGCAAGACCAACATCATCGCCGGCGGAAAAATCTGTGCAGCGGTGAAAATTATTTCCATCACACTGAGGGTCCTCGGAGAAACAGATACTCTCTCTAGTTGGTGGTGGGGTTGGTCATCTTCACCGGCGGCTTCATCAATAAAAATGTCGTCGTTGGACAAGTCCAGCATGTTGTCGACGGAGAAATCTTCAGAATAACTCAGCGGAGAAGTTTATTTTTTATCTTTGTTATTTTTTGATGTGTCGGATACGGATATTTACGAATATCCGTGGTTTTTTCGGATATCCAAAATTACGAATATCCAAAAACTACGGATCGGATCCAGATAATAAATTTTAATATTTGCACGGATCGGATACGGATACGGATATTGTAAAAATCTCGGATATCCGATCCGTGCCCACCCCTAGTGTATATTAGTCGTTAATGCAATTTAATGCACTTGTTTTACTGCAGAGAGATGGTCCACCGAAACCATAATTTTATTACGATTTTGACAATATGAATAAAATTTTGGTGAAAGTGTCTTCCATATATTTTCGCATCAAACCAGTGGATTTTCTAGAAAAGGATTTTACAGGAGAATAGAGGAAACGTTTTATAGAAAAAATCTCGGTTTAGACGTATATCCCATATGAAAAAGAAACGGTCGTTGAAAATAAGTTTAATTGTGGCACTCATCAATCGTGTGGTGAAGACGAAGAACGATAGTGAATAGTGGTTCGTCATTAATGAAGTCTCCATTAGATATTCTCTGTAGAAACATACAATTCTTTGGGAACATACAATTTTTTTATTCATATCATCGAAATCGTAATAAAATTATGGTTTCGATGGACCTTCGCTCTGCAATAAAACAAGTGCATTAAATTACATTAACGAAACCATGATTTTATTACGATTTCGACGATATGAATAAAGAATTGTATGTCCACAAAGAATTGTATGTTCTTACAGAGAGTATCTAATGGAGACTTTGTTAATGGCGAACCACAATTCACTGTCACTCTTCGTATTCACGGCACGATTGATGAGCGCCACCATTAAACTTATCTTCAAAGACCGTTTCTTTTTCATATGGAATATATGCCTACACCGAGATTTTTCCATGAAACGCTTCCTCTATTCTTCAGTGAAATCATTTTCTAGAAAATCTAATGGTTCAATGTGAAAACACATGGAACACACTTTCACCGAAATTTTATTCATATTGTCAAAATCATAATAAAATTCTGGTTTCGGTGGGTCATTGCTCTGCAATAAAACAAGTGTATTAAGTTGCATTAACGTCTAGTATATATATTCAAATACTACTATGTACAAATGACTTTGCACCTACCACTTTTGTAATATTTAGTGGCAACTATGACAAATCTCAAGGGACTCTGCCAGTCCGTTGTCTTGGTCTTCCTTTGACTTCATCGAAGCTTACCTCAAGGGACTGTGCCAATCTTCAAGACATAATCAGGAGTCGGATGTGCTCATGGACAGCGAGACACCTTTCATTCGCCGGGAGATTACAACTTATCAAGTCGATGATATATAGTGTAATCAATTTTTGGGCTGCTGCTTTTATATTACCCTCTAAATGTGCACAGGAGATGGAGAGAATATGTGCCGCTTTCCTCTGATCTAGAGCTCCGAACACAGCGAGAGGCGCCAAAGTATCTTAGACCAGCATCTGTCAGTCGAAGGAGAAGGGTGGCCTGGGGTTGAGAAGATTAGCAGACTAGAACAAAGTGTTCTGCTTGAAGCTCATATGGATTC